TGTGTTGTTTTTCACAGTGGGCTGTTTTCCTCTTTTAGGCTAAATCGCTCTGCCAAATACAACCTGGAAATGGATCTGAAGGACAAGTTCACTGCATTGACCATTGACAACTACTGCTCCAGCCTGAACAACAACACACCGAATATTCGATACGCCCAGAATGTCGTTTCGGTGGATGACAGGCAGGTCCCTCCCCAAAAGCTCTTCCTCTGCATCCGCAGTATGCTTCTGAGAGTAAGATAGTCCCAAGGTTAGCTAGTGGAAGGGAGGTACAATAAGCACCTGCATCTACAGAGGCAATATGGGGCATTTTTAAGAGCTCAAGTGGGAGATGAGTCAGACCCAGGAGACTGGTTGAATTGTCAGACAGCAACAGCACAGTTGTATGGGGAGTAATTCTAGCCAAAGCTCATTGGGCTTGGACCAGAGTACCATTGCATACGACTGCACTGAAAGTCATAGGCAAAAAAGAGCATGTGCTCCTAAATAATGGCTATGTTCCTTTAATTTCATTCAGTAGCCATTTACAACTTCTCCACATTTTTTAAATAATGTCAGCTACTTTCTAAACTGCACCACCTAGAAACCTCAGCAGCTTTCCTTTATCTGTTCAGATGTCTCCATTTCTCACAGTTTTGGCAGATCTGGACATCCAGAGTCAATCTGATCTCTTTCTCCCCCCCCCCCTTCCCTCGATAGCTCAGTGAGCCCCCAGGAGTGGGTGGAATTCTCAAATGTGAATGTCGAAAAGGCAGACAAGCAACGGAACAATTCCTTGGCGCTCCGTGCCTTGATCGACAGTATCCTGTCCCAGACGGCGGGCGACATGCGCAAACAGAACAAGACAGTCAACATCGCTTTCCAGAACAGGGTGAAGGAGACGAAGGATGCGAAGGCCAAGCTGGAAACGCACCTGGCAAAGGTGAGCACCAGACTAGCAAGCAGGTGTCTGTGTGGTGTGCTGCAGGGGAGGGGATCGGTTCATTTTTATTTATTTAGGAAGTATATACGCCCCTTTGCCAGAGAGTGGCTTGAGGTAGTTAACAAAGTACTATAAAAACAGAACAATGCAGTGGATGATCTTTGTTTCCAGCTTGCCTTGTATTTATGATGATGCAGGGGAGAGGGAGGGGCTGTGGATCAGCAGTGGAGCATCTTCGTTGCACGCAGAAGGGCCGAAGGTCCCAGGTTCAATCCCCGACATGTGCAGTTTAAAAAAAGGATCAGAAGATGGTAGGCGATATGAAAGCTCTCTACCTGAGACCCTGGAGAGCTGCTGCCAATCAGAATCAATAGACAGCACTGCCCTTGAGAGACCAAGGGTCTACCTCAGTAGAAGGCATCTCTTTTCATCTTTTTAGCAGAATCTGTGCTAAAAATCTGAACTCCCAACGCCATAAACAGCATCCCAAACAAAAAGATCTTCTGAACAGTGCTGCTGAAGTTCTGATTTTCTGGCAAGCCTCAGAAGGATGTCCCTCAGCTACGGAGTAGCCCCAAAGGCAGCGTCCCTTGCTGCTGACGCAACATCTTTCCTCGGGCAATGTTTCCTAGATGAAACATTGCTCAGACAGTAGAGGAAGTTGCTCGGATGGTGCATGAAAGTCTTAAAAGGGGGGCTGGAGGTTTCACTTGAGCTGGACAAGACGGGGGAATTAAATAGGGAGAGGGGAGAGAACTGGGGCTGGGGTCAGGTAGCTTTGGGGGATGCTTCTCACTCTCTGATCCTTTGTGCGCTGGGGTCAGTCCTAGAGATTCTGGGCCCTTGAGCAAAAAGTCCATGATGAGACCCCAGAATCACCGCTGCCCCCCTCCGCCTCCCCTGCTGGGAGTAAGCAAAGGGCCACCTTCACCCTGTGTAGAGCAGGTGGGAGATGTCCCAAGAAAGTGGCTGCTGGAGCTTTGGATGGAGCAAGCACAATCGTCCACTGCTGAGCCAGCTGCCCAAGACCCAGACAGGATGTGTTCAAGTGGCAGCAATGGAAGCCTGCTTCCCCCCCCTTTTCCTCCTCCATCAAGGGGGTTGGGCCATGGGCAGTTAGGCCCTCCCCCAGCATGGGGCCCAGGACAGAAGTCCCTGTTGCCCACTGGCTAAGGCCGGCCTTGTTTGGTGTAGTGGTTAAGTGCACGGACTCTAATCTGGGAGAACTGGGTTTGATTCCCCACTCCTCCACTTGCACCTGGCTGGATGACCTTGGGCAAGCCAGAGTTCTGGCACAGCTGTTCTTGAAAAAGAGCAATTTCTGTCAAGTGTTCTCTGAGTCCCACCTATCTCACAGGGTGTCTGTTGTGGGGAGGGGAAGGGAGTTTGTAAGCCGCTCTGAGACACCTTTGGGTAGTGAAGGGCGGGGTATAAATCCAATCTCTTCTTCTTCTTCTTCCTTATTTGCACACATCGTCCTTTCCTGACTTCTGCAAGCACCACGTTGTGTGCTTCATCCTGGTTTGGCCTTGGTTGCAGGTGATGGAGGAGGTTAACTCCCAAGAGAAGAACATCGCTGCCCTGAAGAAAGCCATCCTCGACAAGGAAGGGCCGGCCAAGGTGGCAGCAACGCGACTGGAGACCCGGACTCACCGGCCCAACGTGGAGCTGTGCCGAGACGTGGTGCAGTACCGACTCATCAAGGAGGTGCACGAAATCAACCGCAACATTCAGAGGTGAGAGGAATGCAGAAATGCGAGGCCTGAGTTGAAGACGTTTCTTGCGTGGACCTGAGCGACCCAGAGGAGGGCATCTTGTGCAGATTGAATCCTCTGTTTGGCTTGGAAGTTTCACAGCATGTTTCCCCCCCCCCCACCTCTCCAGTACAAGTTTGTCCCTCCTTCCTCCAAGGAGCTCAGAAGTGGCACGCATGATAACTTTCCTTCCAGTCTTCGCCTCACAACCCTGGGAGGCGGCATGCTTGCAAGTGAGGGGCATGCAGACAGATGGTAGAGAAATCAGGCAGGTGCTGGTCAGAGGGCTCTGCCATAACCCCCCAGGCCCTGGCAGATAGCCCAGGTCCGCTGGCGTTGGCCCCGATCTGAACACACCGTGCTGTCTAACAGGGTGAGAAATGGATCCCCTGCCATGGCATGAGTGTCCAGAGCATCGACACGACTTCCCTGTTGCCTCTTCAAAGTTTGGGCTGTCCTGGCTTGGCAGCTACCCTTGGCTGC